TGCTGTGCTTTAACCTCCTGCACCACCAGGGAGGGCCTGACTCTATGATTTTAAACCCTTCTTTTTTTTACTAGAAAAGTAAAATATATCTATTATTGAAGATTTTTAAACCACTCAAAAGAACTAACACAGACAGAAAACAAAAAGATCACTCTTAAAGTAAAATACTTACTTACATTTCTAACTTCTAGCTAGAAAATAAATGGCCTGGAATAAAGAGCATGGTTACTGTAGGTAATAATATTGTAGGTTTGAAAGTTGATAAAAGTACATCTTAAAAATTCTTGTAAACATGAAAAAAATCTGTGTCTATGTGTGGCAATTATTTCACAGTATAAACAAATATCAAATCATTATTTTGTACACCTGAAACTATTATAGCAATTATATCTTGATAAAAATTTTTCTTGCACATCTGCTTTATCTTTGCTTATGCATTGATAAAAACTTAAAATTATTTTTAATGTAGAATTTCATATGCTAACTTTTTAAATATTACATTCTACCTTAAGTGATATTTATATTGCTTAGTATGGAGATAGTTTACAATTTAAGTACCATATAATATTTCAATTGAAAATGTAATTAATAGCATTAAGGAATTTTTAATCATCCATAATTATACTCAAAGAAGTTTGTTTTCCTTATTTCTTATATGTAAGCATTTTTTCTATTACAGCATACAAATTATTTTAATTTTGCCATTTTTGCTTTGCTTTTTGATAATCTTTATAATTCTAATTTTAAATGACTACATGCTTTTAGTTTTGGGTCAGACATAGTGCTTTTCCTTCAAGTTCCACAGCCAAAACCCTACTTTCAAACAGCTTGACTCTCACCATCATGGTTTTATACTAGTTTTTTTCCCTCTATAATAGCCCGACTTTTAAACCCCTCTCCATCATTCTCTGTAGTTCTCTTGACTGCAAAAGTGTATCTTTTAGCTCCAAAAGTTAGGACTTATGCCAGGTGTGGAAAAGGAAAACTGTAAATAACTAATAGAGCAATGAAGAAGCTAGGGGCGTGTCCCCCCACCTGTGCTGAGACTGAAAGTCCCTGACTAACAGTCTCATCGAGGCTTTTGACATTACCTTTGTTTCTGAAAAACCTGGGGCTGGCCACTTAAACAGCTAAGCCCCTGAAGGGGGGCCTACTGCTTAACTTCAAGCACATTCTGGAAATTAGAGGGCTCCCAGATGTAGTTCCAAATCCTGGCACTAGGTGGAAGCATGTACCAAAGGAAACATTCATCTCTGCTAAATGCAGAGACCACCTAACTTAAACCACAAAGAGCAAGAAGCAAAGAAGAGTATGTTCCCATCTCAAATCAGATTACAACATCACAATTTAAAATATTTATTCTAGTAAGAGTTTTGCCTTCCAGTTGAATTCTCCAAATTAGTTCAGTTGCACTGAATATGATTTAAGTATACTTCTGAGAACTTCATATTCGTAAGACCCGTTTAAGTGCATTTGTATTTTCACCAGCCTGATAATATGTAGTTTCACATTCAAACTTCTATACTCTTTGAAGTGACTGTTTTCTCTGTCTGTGTCTCTCTCTTTGATGAAGCAATTTTTTCTTTCTGTCAAATAAAGGCAAACAATTCTGCAGACAAGTTAAGCCAGACAGGCTCAACCCTTTGGGGATCTTACTATTTCGATTCATTTGTTCATTATTCATCAGAAAAGATTGCCGAACATTTCTCCATGCTTGATCTTGCGCTAAGTGCTGTGGGCTGCTAAGATGACCAGATATCAATTCTGCCTTTAAGAGAGTTACTCCATCTTCAGAGTGGGGAGTGTCTGGGCTGACTCATGCATGTGTTTGTAGAGGAAGCATGGAATATTATATCCAGGTACACAAATTACATATTTATTAAGAATAAGACTAGCTAAAATACACATAATGTTTACTATCCTCCAGGCATTATTTTAATTCACTTTATCCTTTCGGTTGGGTAGATTCTACTGTTATCCCATTTATACAGGTAGGGAAACTGAGACTCAGTGGAAGTGACTTGCCCAAGGAGTGCACAGGTAGTTGTGGCAGAGAGGAGAGTTGAACCAGGTGTCCCAGCTTCCATCCCAGGACAATTAACGTAGGGGCCTCGGGTTGGCCCTGGAGAGCGAACTTTACTTTTATTTCATACTCTTGAGTTCTCAAAATTATATTAAAAGCCAATTTAAAAATATTTTTGAAAATTGAGCTTAGGCTAATAGTGAGGCCCCAGGGCGGTTTCACAGGAGTTCCCTGGGTGGTAACGGTGGGGAGGGGCATCGGTGGGGAGGGGCATCGCTGCTCCTTCCCAAAGGACTGGTTGAAAGGGGAGGAGAATAGTACTGGTTTGTCTCCATGTAATTACATTTTAGTCCTGAGAGGACAGGCAGCGTTTAAAAGCTCAAGTGGCTTTGGTTTCTTGCCACAGACTCTTTAATAAGTTTTGTCCCTAGGAACCCCTCGTCCCCACCCCCACGGGGTCCACAAGCTTACCTACTCGGCTCTTCACTTTCCTAGGTTCCCGTTCCGACGTTCCGAGAGTCCTTAGCAAGCAGGCCGAGGTCTTTACAACCGGATTCCTTGTCTTCCCTGTGCACCTGGATTGCTGTGTGTTCCTCCCTGCATCAGCACCTGCAGAGCATCCTATTTTTTTTTTTTTTCATTTTTACAGCTGCACAACTGTCCAGTGGGCTAGTTTGAGTGGTCTTCTCGAAGGTTACTCCCTGGACCTTGCTACGCGATTTGCTGAGACGTCTCCAGGTTTGAACTAGCCTGTCTTGAGCCCTCCCTGCCTGACTGCTTATCTGTGGGTGCTTCCATAATGAAGCCACCTGAAACTTCCTCCCTCCCTCCCTTTCCCTTCTCATCTAAAGCACATTGTGGGCGCTCCCCATTCCAGCCTCCCCCACACCCCCTCATCCCCGCTGGCCCTTGGGGCAGTAGCTCACTCCAGTTATTCTGGTGATTAAACCCTGATGCAGACGTACCTGCACCTGAATCTCTTGCCACGTAATTTTCATCATCTTGGGAACAGATGTGCCAAGGTGGCACCCCAGGTAGAAATGCCTATAATTGTACACACCTGTTGACAGAGCGATGCCCTGGCCAAACAGCTACACAGTTAGGTATTTTCTTCCTCTTTTTCTTTATTTTCATTTATGGTTAAGACTACAAGACTGTACTTGCAGGTTTGCTAACTTACAAACATGCTCAAACTGTTACATTCTAGAAGAGTGGGGTTTGAGGAGGAGATAAAACTCACTTATAAAGGTTACCTTCCTTCCTTTCAAAGGAACTGATTATGGTTGAACAACCAGCACTTGTGACCTGCTATGACTGGGGGGTGGAGTGTTCTGTTTTACTGAATGTGTTGCTGTTTCCCCATCTGTTTATTTTGAACAAGCATTTGCTCCCAGAGTTTGCTGGCCTGCCCTGGGCACTGGTCAGCCTGCTGCCAACATGCCCAGCCCGCTGGAGATTGCCATGGACACCATGATTAGAACCTTCCACCAGTACTCTTCTAAGGAAGGGGACCAGTTCAAGCTCAACAAGGGGGAGCTGAAAATGCTCCTGCAGCGAGAGCTGCCAGAATTCCTCTTGGTGAGTTGGGGTTCTGCCTGCTTTGCTGCCTTGCTGGTGGGTGGGGAGGCCCAGGGCGCAGGCAGCCTCAGCACGCATAGGTGCTGTGAGTCTGTCACACATAGTACTATATGCACCATCATGCAAAATACAGGGGAAGCAAACACAGGGACCCCAGTTTTCCATGTATATGGGCAGCAGGCATTTTCCATGGTTCCTATGTTAGGGTTTTGAAGTGTAACTGCATTTGAGGCTTTCGACAACTCAGCACCCTGGTGTGGCAATCCAAGTTTGAGCTAGTGATAATTAGTGAGGGTACTTATACCTGAAATTTTGTCTAGCTGTCTGTCTGTAAAATATGTATTGTGCATTTGGCCAGAATTGAAGTCTGGGGTACTTTATGCCACGGTGGGAAATTTTCTAGCAAGTGGCACATGCTTAATTTCATCAGCCAAGCACAAACTGATTGAAATTGACAGAAAGAGTGTGTCTGGCCAGTGACGAACTGGGCAGCAAACAGGATGGCATCCCAAAATAGCCAAGAGTTCGATAAATCGACACATGAAAACTCACAATGGCGCCTTTGAGGTCTGCTCTGCCGTTCATGGAGCAGCCTTGAACTTCAGTAGACTTTAACAGTGGGCTTTACCCTCCCCAATGTTGTTCTGTTCAAACCCAGTGTTAATACTGTGGTGATGTAACTACAACCTTTTCTCTCCACCTTTTATGGGAAAAGCATAATGTAAAAACTTTTACACAGTAGTTCTTCATCATAACCTTGATAGTGATTTTGTGAATCCCCAGGAACTTTTTATTTTCCCCCAAATCTAGTTTGGAAATGTCTAGGATAAAAGGCTCAGAACATCGAACTTGGCACATTGATTTATTCAAGTGAAATTTGTAATTGTTTTTGCTCAAATTGATCTTCATCAATTCAGTTTAAGTTTCCAGCCTTTTACTGGCTGCCAGCTAATGAGAGAGCAACGGGGAATACCTGGAGGAAATGAATCACTTTTACAATCCTTTCTCATCAACAACTTACATAGGTGAGGTGGATGCTCATAGTTCCACTCTTCTGAACCCTCATCTTTACTTTCTATCCTCCAAATTTGTGTGGGCCCTTGACCTGTGATGTAAACTCGAGTTTAGCATCAGTAGTTCACCTGAATGAGCTCCCGCTTGCTTGCTTCTTAGGATTCAGCTAGGAATAGATGGTCCTGGAATTGTTTAGAATTTGTGCCTGGTTCAAACCCACCTGCAAACAGTCTCTTCAAAGTTGTCCTTGACACAAAATGATGTAAAAATTAACTATTATATATATATATGTATATATATACATATATATGTATATGTATATATATATATATATATATATAAGTTGCCCTTAAATGCTAAAAATGGAAATAAAAACTTTTAGGTAAACAAATGGAAGATTTCAGGTGTCCTAATGAACCTCAAGGCCTGGGAGTTAGACATTTTCTTTTTCCTTTTAGTGCCAAAAGGATCCCCAGATGGTTGATAAGATAATGCAGGACCTGGATGCCAATAAGGACAATGAAGTGGATTTTAATGAATTTGTGGTCATGGTGGCAGCTCTGACAGTTGCTTCTAATGATTATTTTGTAGAACAATTGAAGAAAAAAGGAAAGTAGTCAGGTAATCTAAAGGCAGAAGTGTCCTCCAAAAATTTACTGTTCCTCTGTACCCTCCTGCTTGATAGTTGCAGTAAGGCTAGCTACAGACATAATAGACATATCCTTACTTGCTAGTATTAAGGTATACCTTCATATTTTGACTTCAAACATCTTATATACCTTACTAGAAAATTTCCCTCATTGTATACATGATACGTTATATACATGATTTTTGTCTGTCAAAATGAAAGCATCTGAAAAACTTAACTACTTTCAAATGAGATGAGGACTCAGTAAATTTCTGACATTCATCTTCCTCAAATTGTTCTAGAAATTCTTCTTAATAAGATTAAGTGACTCTCCTACCCTCTTATGATTCTGCTCCACATAGAAGAAGCTGGGAAGGTCTATATGCAGAAAGGCTGTTAAGTAGAAGAAAGTGCTGACTTTTTCATGAGGTCAGGGAGGGGCTGGGTGCTCAAGCCCCTGCAGTGGAAGCCAGCAACACCCTTTGGGCACTGGTGTATAAATACCCACCTTTGCCCCTTGGTTCATGTCCTTTCCCAGTGCTTTCTCTGGGGTTAGTCTTTAGTCACCCCTGGGGAGACTGGCCCAAATGTACCTTCTCCATGCTCATTTCCTGGCCTGGCCTGATGTGGTTGCTCACATCACAGACAACCTTACATGTCCTATACCCCAATAAAGGACTTGCATGCAAATACTTGTCTAAAGGTCTGCTTGGGGAGGGTGCAGTAATGCCTCTGGAGTAATGAAGAATGGGGGCAGTGTCATTATATGTCTACCTTTGAACACTTCCCTCACTACTGTTTTGAGAAAACACTACAGAGAGGGCAATGTAAAAGAGAGAGACCAATGGAGAGAGACCAATGGCTGTGGCTTGGGTGTGAGAAGTTTCTAGCTTAGGCCAAGGCAGGAGAAATGAAAAGAGGGGCAGCTGAAGCTGTTATGTGTCTCAGGGGTGGGGCTGAAAGGATTTGCCAATCAATGGTGATAGAGGGTGGGAAAGGGGAGCACTGGGGACAGGTGGGCAGGTACTGCTACCGCCTACGAGATTCCTGTCTACCTCTCTGCTGAACATCAGAACCCTGTTGTGTGCAAGGTAGCAGAGTGCCCACTTAAAAAGTGATCTTCCTCAAAATGCAGAGGGCCAACAAGCATATGAAAAAATGTTCAACATCACTTGTAATAAGGGAGATGCAAATTAAAACCACAATAAGATACCACCTCCCCCCAGTGAGAATGGCACATCTTCAAACAACTAGCACCAACAAATGTTGGCGAGGATGTGGAGAAAAAGGAACTCTCCTGCACTGCTGGTGGGAATGCAAACTAGTACAATCACTATGGAAAACTGTTTGGAGGTTCCTCAAACTGCTAAACATGGAGCTTGTGGAGAAAAAGGAACTCTCCTGCACTGCTGGTGGGAATGCAAACTACTACAACCACTATGGAAGTTTGGAGGTTCCTCAAACTGCTAAACATGGAGCTTCCCTATGACCCAGCAATCCCACTCCTAGGTATCTACCCAAAAGACACAAAAACACTGATTGAAAAAGATACTTGTACCCCCATGTTTATTGCTGCTTTATTTACAATTGGAAAAACATGGAAGCAGCCCAAATGCCCAAAAGTAGATGACTGGATTAGAAAGATGTGGTACATATATACAATGGAATATTACTCAGCAACCAAAAAAGAGAAACACATGTCTTTTGCAGCAACTTGGATGGAGCTGGAAAAGATCATGCTTAGTGAGATAAGCCAGAAAGAGAAAGAAAAATACCGGATGGTTTCACTCATAGCAGGAGTATAATGGACCAGGCGAGAAAATAACAAAAATAATGAACAACCATAGACCAGAGACATTCTGTGGGGGTAGAGTGGGGAATGGGATCAAAAACGGGGGAGGGGAAGGGAGGGAAATGCACGAGACTATGGTGGTGGTACATGGGTGACTCGGTGATGGGAAACCCATGGGGATTACAATTGAGATGGAAAAAAATATACAAAATGATGTAAAAATAAATTATCATATTATTAAAAAAATTAATAATTCTCAGCCTCCCTTGCAACTGAGGTGGAGCTTGTAACTTAGTTCGGACAATGAGAGATGAGTAGGGGTCTGTGAGGAGGGCCTTCCAGCCTGTACCTGTCTTCTGTTTCTTTCCACTGGAGCGTGGATGTGAGCCTAGAGGTGGATCTGTCATCTCCCGACCAGAAGGACGTGAAGAAACCAGACAGAAGGAACCAAGGACATTGTTGGCATTGAAGAGTCACCACACAGCTCTATCTCCTGCCTCTGGTCCTCTCATCATGTGAGATGATGAGCAGTTACGCTGGATTCTGTTACGTGCAGCCAAACACAAGCTCTAGTATTTAGATCTTGGTCAAACAAATGATGCAGCTTATTAAATGGGACAGATTGGAGGAGGAACAGCTTTGGTGTGGAGATGTTGAGGGAATTTATAGTTCTGTCTGAAGTGGCTGTTGGACATCCAAGCAGAGATATAGGAGTATATGATCTAGTCCAGAGCTCAGGGTAAAGAGGGGACTAAAGATGCCGGTCTGGGGGACACAGACACCAAGTATTAGTCACAGGACTGGAGAGATCACGTAAGATGAGAATGTGGCTAAGGAAGAAAGTTCCACTGTTACTTATAGGGAGAAAGAAGAGTCAGCAAAGGTTATGCCAGGGAGAAAAACCAGGAAAGCTTGGTGCTCCGAGGCCAAAGAAAGAATTTGAAGGAAAGAAGGCCAAATCCACTGAGAAGAGGAATTAGAAGAAAATGTGGAACTGGCCCTCAGATGTGAGGAAGAGAGCTTTGGTGATATCAGTCAGCCTGAGGAGAGGGACTTTGTTGATGGAGTAAATATCCTGTCTGGCAAATAATGGGTACTCTTAATACTTGTTTAATAAATACAAATGAAAGAACCTGCCAATTGTTGATTTCCCAGAGCAGAGACCTGACATTTTTTTCTTTAAAAAGAATAACCATTTTAAAAATAGTTGATTTTTCACATCATTTTGTGCCTTTTTCCATCTCAATTGTTAATCCCCTTGGGCTTCCCATCACCAAATCACCTGTGTGCCATCACCATAGTCCAGTGCACTCTCCTCCCTCATTTTTTATTCCATTCCCCACTCCACCCCCATAAATTGTCTCTGGTATATAGTTCATTATTATTATTATTATTTCCTCCCTGGTCCTTTATACTCCTGCCACGAGTGAAACTGTGAAACCATCCGATATTTTTCCTTTTCTTATTTCACTAAGCATGATCCTTCCAGCTCCATCCATGTTGCTGCAAAAGGCATGAGTTTATCTTTTTTGGCTGCTGAGTAATATTCCATTGCGTGTATGTACCACATCTTTTTCATCCAATCATAAATAGAATAACAATTTTTGTCTCCTTCAAGTCAACTCTTAGTAGATAGGACAAGGAGAATTTAGAGGTGAGAACATTCAAGAGAAGAAATGTATCCCCTCGGCACTTACTACTGTTTCTCAAGAGTTGCAAGGAGAAATGAGAAGAAAAACATGAAACACATCCCAGAGATGCTTAAGTATTTTGTTATGAGATGGCACGTACTCAAGTGAAAGAACATCACAACATTTCTCAGTGGTCTGGGAACATGTCTATTTAATATAGCCCAATTTTACTTATTTTGAAATTAGATATTAAGTCTAACATTTCCCTCATGTTCTATTCTAGGAAAGACATTTTCAAATTAGAGAAATAAATGGGAAAACAATGTTCACTTCACAGTATTTGTAAAAATCCATCGAAAGTGAGCACAAAATAATTTATGTGCCAAATTAAAGTTGAAATGAGTAAGAATTAGATGATGTGCAAAAAGCTTTTATCTAGTAAAAAAAAGACTTTGTTGTTGTGTTAGGTATGTACCATATATACGTAGGAGGCAAAATTGGTTATTTTGCCCACCCAGAGGCCCTGGTCTTTCCACTTTCCAGAGTATAACTCAATTTCAAGCAACTTTTTTTTTTATGCTTTCTTTCTTTTTTCTTTTTTCAATTACAAGCAACTTTTAAGGGTTCCCTCTGATTCAGCACTCTGACATTTAACATTCTTAGTATGGTTATTGGTAAAAAAGTGTGGCTGTGAGAGGCAACAGCTTAGGTCTGCTTAGGGGTGGTTGTACAAATAGCTAGAAAGCATTAGTGCAAAACTTCAATTTTATTGTATATTTTTTAAAGATTATTTATGTTTACAAAACTGGGGTACAGACCAGAGGTACAGGGGCAGTGAGAGGATTCATCGGAGACAGAGTGGGGAGCAAACAAGGCAGATCAACATAGTACACTGCTGAGGGGAGCAGTGGGCGGGTAAGAAGAGGTCTGCCGCGCCATGTGATCACCTCTGGGGCAGGGAGTGAACTCATGCTGAAGTGGCTTTAGCTTCTTAGTGCTGTGCTTTAACCTGTTGTGCCACCAGAGGGCCAATTTTATTGTATTTTTAAAGATTTTATTGTGTGTATGCATACAAGATTAGGGGTATAGGCCAGAGGTACAGGGGAGTGAGAGGATTCACCAGAGGCAGAGTAGGGAGTAGAACAGGCAGATCGACTGAAATACACTGCTGAGGGGAGCAGTAGGCGAGATAGGAGAGGTCTGCTGTGGGTCACTTCCTTGGCTGGAGATCCAACTCCAATTGCAGTGGCTGGCAATAGCTTGCTAATGCTGAGACTTTAACCCCTGTACCACCAGGGAGGCCCTTCAATTTTATTTTTAAGAGATATTTTTTATTTTTCCTAACAAATAGCTCCTTTCCAGAGGTAGAAGCCTGGAATCAAGTCTCTGATGAAGTACAGAAATAGAAAGGTTATTAAAGAAACAGAGAACTTAGGCAGAGTCATGCAGTTATAAAACAGTAGGACATATTGGGGACAGTGTAGGCTGGGGGGTCTGGAAGATCATGAGCTAGAACTGGAGAGGGAGTTAGCACTTGGTGCTAACATGAGAAATTTCAAATTTATC